CTCAACTTAGAGGGAACACTGCTGCCCACCCCTGTGAGATGACTCTCTAGTGGGCGAATGTATTAATTTGCTTCCTTTTGTGCCCTGCCTTTCTACCTGAACCTCCCCAAGGCGACTTCCGCCCTCCTCCTCGTCGCTTGATCCTCACAACAACCCTGCGAGGTAGATCGAGATGGGCAGACCTGTAAGTCAGTCTGTAGCAGGAGAACAGAGCAAAAGTCCAGGAGCAGCACAAAGAATTGCAGGATGTGGGGCAGGGGAGGAGCTTCCCAGAATCTCTCTGCTCTCTTGGGTATCTGAAGAAGTGAGCCCTGACTCACGAAAGCTCCTCCCCTGCCACAGATGCTGTCAGACTTCCAGGTGTTCTAGGGATCTTGCTCTTCTCACACGAACAAAAAAAGGGGGGTGGGAGAAAGAAAACTCAACCCAAAAAGCTGCTATGAACCCACAAGGGTTAAGCTGACACTAAATATTATAAACATACAAAATTTATTCAGGTGTACGCATTTTTTAAAAAACTTAGACTAATTAAAAATATTCACATTCAGACATAAAACATTTCTCAACATTCATACATAGATGGGTTAGTGCTGTGCAACTGAACCAAACGCGTTTCGGCCCCAAAGGGCCTTCCTCAGTGGTCACAATCCAAAATACAAACTTGACATACATTCAAAAAGAGGTTTTTTTAACATCAGATGTGAAGTACATACGCAATATAAGGCCAGATGTTGTATCCTTATATATTTATATGTATATTATTGTTGTATTTGATAGGCTTCAGGTATAGCCAATTAAAGTCCACCAATACTTCTGGTAGCATAGAATTGCGTGAGTTGACTGTATTGGTGGACTTCACATCTGATGTTTTAAAAAAAACCCTCTTTCTGAATGTATGTCAAGTTTGTATTTTAGATTGTGACCACTGAGGAAGGCCCTTTGGGGCCGAAACGCGTTTGGTTCAGTCGCACAGCACTAACCCACTAACTGCGGTTTGTTGTATTTGATAGGCTTCAGGTATAGCCAATTAAAGTCCACCAATACTTCTGGTAGCATAGAATTGCGTGAGTTGAGTGTATTGGTGTATCTGATGTTAAAAAAAACTCTTTTTGAATGTATGTCAAGTTTGTATTTTGTATTGTGACTACTGAGGAAGGCCCTTTGGGGCCGAAACGCGTTTGGTTCGGTTGCACAGCACTAACCCATCTATGTCTGAATGTTGAGAAATGTTTTATGTCTGAATGTGAATATTTTTAATGAGTCGAAGTTTTTCAAAAATGTGTACACTTGAATGAATTTTGTATGTTTATAATATTTAGTGTCAGCTTAACTCTCGCTCTCCTCTCCTGGGAGGTAGGCTCCGTGGAGGGAGTGTGACTCCCCGGTCCAAGGTCGCCCAGCAAGCCTCCATGGCGCAAGGGGGGGAGGATTCGGACTTCTTGCTCCCCAATATGACTCTTAACTGGCTCTCCACCTGGGCTCACTCAACCCAATTTATTTAGGCTGACTGGATTCAACTGCAGACCTGCACAAGTACATTGTGCGCGTGGTTCTCCAACGTCTTTGAACGTTTGTTAACATCCTGTTCTGAGCGGACCAGGTTTTTTCTTCCTTTCTTCCAAGGCTGGGCTGGCGGGACCCCCCCTTCGGGGTCAGAGGTGTTCATCGGTAAAATCCCACAGGACATCTACGAGGACAAGCTGATTCCGGTCTTCCAAAGCGTGGGGAAGCTCTATGAGTTCCGGCTCATGATGACCTTTAGTGGCCTGAACCGGGGCTTCGCTTATGCCAAGTACACCAACCGGCGCGGTGCCCAGGAGGCTATCGCTGCCCTGAACGGCTTCGAAATCCAGCCCGGACACCCCATCGTGGTCTGCAGGAGCACGGAGAAGTGCGAGCTCTCCCTCGATGGTCTGGCTCTCTCCGTCAAGAGGCGCCCGCTCCTCCAGCTGCTGGGCGAACTCACGGCGGGCGTGGCCGGCCTCTCCTTGCACCCGAGCCCTTTCCGGAAGGGGAAGCAGATGGCGGAGGTGAAGTACGTCTCCCACGGCGCGGCTGCGATGGCAAAGAAGGTGCTGGTGGAAGGTGAGTCCCCCCCATGGGTGGGAGGAACCCTGGCTGCAGTTGGGTCGTCCTCGGGAGCGGGTTTGGAGAGTGATCAGCTGCTTGCGGGAGTTTATTAATGTCTGGAGCAAAATCGATTTCCTGCCTCCTGCCCCGGAAGGGGGGGGGCATCGTAAAACTAGGGACGCTGGTTGCCAGTCGACAGTATGGGTAGTCTCCTTGCCCATAGGGAATCATGGAGAGCATGCTCACCCGTAGTTCTAGGCACTGAGCATCCTCTTAAAATGGAGCCTCCTCTTACTTCATTTGTCCTGATAAATGTATTTGGAAATGGCACTTGATGGGTGTGATCAGTGTTCCCTCTAAGCTGAGTTAGTGTGAGCTAGCTCACAGTTTTTTAGCCTCCAGCTCACACATTTTTGTCTTAGCTCAGGAAGGATGGCTCCAGAGCAAACTAATTTAAGCAGCAGCCAAATTGCTCGCTCACAAATTTAATGGCAGTAGCTCACAAAGTAGAATTTTTGCTCACAAGACTCCATAGCTTAGAGGGAACATTAGGTGTGATAGATTGACATCAGGGCCCCCGCCCCCAGTCTGCTGGAGCCTGCAGGCACCTCTGGAATCCTGACGCAGGGTGGTGGGCAGAATCACAAAATGGCTGCCACGGGAGGTGGGGCCAGCCACAAGAGGGCTGTTGCAGGGGCGGAGCCACACCGAGGAAGCCCGCCGGGTATGGGGAGAAGAGGGGTGACTTTAAAAATGCATCGGGGAAGGAGGAGGAAGGCGAATACGACCTGCGTTGTAGCACAGAAGCTTGTACCCAGAATTGCAGGTGCCCATGGACTCAAACTTCGTTCGGTTCTACACTGTAGCTGCTGCTGAAGCACTTATTTTCCTCCTATCTCCAGTAGACAGTCAGAAGAGCCCCCCGGACCCCACCCACGTTCTAAAAATACTGGGGCTCCATGTTGAGCATCCCTGAGTGGTATTGATGCTGAGTGGGAACTGTTTCCTGGTTTTTGTGCAGGGAGTTTATGCCTCTGTGGAGACCAGATTGAGGTGGACTGGGTGAAGCCAAACGTCAGGCAGGAACTCCACACCACTGTGCAAGCCGTCCCAGAGACCCTCCTCTCCTCCAGCCGCTCTGCCGAAGACGCCCCCACCCGAGGGGCCTCCGAGTCAGTGGATCCTCTTGTCCCCCTGGCAGGGGGCCGTGCGCTAGACTACCTGAACCTCCAGTGTGAGGAGCGGCAGCTGGGGACCCCCGTATTCCTCACCAAATGCATCCAGAGGAGACCTGGGGGCTGGCTTCAGTACTGGTACCAAGTGGTGATTCCAAACTATCCGTCGCCCTTCAGTGGATTGGTCTGGATCGAGCAAGATGACTCCGTTGTGGAGGACCATAAAAAGGCAAAGAATGTGGTAGCCCTGCAACTGCTCAAAGTCCTGGGTGAGAGACAGTGGGTGACATTTCCCGTTCTTTCAACTGATAAAGCTAGAAGACTTGAAATATTTTCTCGTTCATAATGAGTGAGACATTTCTCAAGGCACGGCTTAAGCTATATAGCATGCAAAAGTCTTGAGGAAATGTTAGGGGGCAATGAAACAAACCTATGAAATGTTTTCTCTTTTGCCATGTCTTTCCCTCCTTTCAGATGTACAGCATGAAAACGTCTGATCGGGGAATTGGAGCAACACTGTTAATTAAACCTCTTGCACTGTAGACAGTTTCAGGATTTTAGACCTTTTTAGGATTTTTGTCAAGCTTGTTTTGTGCAAATGTTAATAATT